CTAAGATCGAAGTGGATTAAAGATCTAAATATTAAGACAGAAATACTAAACTTGCTGGAAGATTAGTTAGGTAGAACTCTTGAAGACACTGGCATAGGAAAAGACTTCATGAACAAAACCTCAGCAGCATGAGAACTAGCAGAAAGAATCAACAACTGGGATCTCATTTTACTAAAAAACTTCTGCACTGCAAAAGAAACCACCAACAGAGCTAACAGACAACCTACAATATGAGAAAAATTTTTTAGCAGCTGTACCTCAGACACAGGCCTTCAACTTTTGACTGAATCCTCCGGCTCTCCAGGATGTAGATGACCCTTTTGCATTCTTTCACCTCTGACTCTATAGGCGGCCATTGTAAGCCTATTTGTAAATCCTTTCTATATCATGTTTTATATTAAATTTGTTCCTCTAGTGAACCCAAAGTGATATACTCCTGTTTTTCATAGTCTTGTGCAAGTATTTGACTTTTTAAATTACATGTGTGTAAAACATTTAAAATTTTTAAAAACATGTAAATTTAAAAAGATGAACTCTCCTTGAAGACTGATAACTGTTTGGTGAAAACATTAACTCATCTAAATTCTAGTTTAGAACATTTAATTTTACCTATTAAAAGTGAGTAAAAAGTGGCAAAAACATTTAATACAAATTTTCTTTTTGTATTGCAAATAATGAATATTTGTAAACAAGCCTTTTAATATTGATTTTAAATGAATGTACATAGTTACACTGTATCACCAGTAGAGACCTTTAAGAACGTGAAGTTACTGAAATCATTATAAAAATAAATGCTGGTGGCTTGGCTAAAAAAAGGAGGTCAAATCATATATAGACTCAAAACGTACTTAAACTTGTGCTCTGGAAACTATTTAATGACTCTGATTATGGTAAAGACATTGACAATGAACAATTCAGATAAAATTGTTCATGAAATGAGTAGTAAAAAAAGTGCATTACTAAATTAATATTATACTTTGAGATACTTGATATTAAATATAAATGTGAACTAAATTAAATATTCTAAGTAAATAAAAAGATCAACGGAATTAGCTATCAAGCTGGCTCCCCCAAACATCTTTGTTTTCACCAAGGAGGTGGCAAGAATGGAGGCAAAGTGAAACTGTTCTTCAAAAGCTGAGACCGTGACTTAATTGTATTTGGGTCCCCCAACTGTCTGATTATGAATAAATACCTGTCCTATCTCTCTATCATTTCAACCTGTTTCTTTTCTTCACAGTACTAATCATTCCCTACTATCTTCTTTTTATTGATTGATTGTTATGCCTACATCTAGACATTCCTCCAAAGCCTCTGTGCTCCTAAGTGAGGCTTTTGCAAAGTGGCCAGATAATGGGTGTGTGATACTGGTCATGGGACGGAGTACTGGATTAGTCCTCTTATTGGTTTAGCATAGTTCTGGGTATGGATGATGGATCTACCGAAGAGGGAAGATTGACCCTGAGTGTGGGTGGCACCAACCAATAGGCTCATAGCCTGGATGGAATAAAAAAGGAAAGAAGAAAGAAGGCTTACTGCTTCGTGCCTACCTTACCACAAGCTTTTTCTCATCTGCCATGCTTCCTGCCTTAGAGCCAGACAACTATGGACTGAAACCTCTACAAATCGTGAGCCAAAATACACCATTCCTTCTTTAACTTGTGGATATTGGATATTTTGTCCCAGCAATGAGAAAGTAATGAAGACACTGATTTATATGCTTAGTCTATCTTCCTGACCAGAATGTAAGCTCAATGAAAGCAGGGACCTGCAGTATTGTTTACAACCAAATGCATCCTGAATGTTACTCAATGCTTCCTACATCGGTATTCAGTAAAAATTAATCAGATTCAGTGAGTGAATAAGCACCTGGTAGACCCAGTAAACAGTGTGCATTAATTAAATATTCCTCACAACTTTGGGATCATCTTCTGCTGAGAGGAAAACTGTCTTTTCCTGCAAGAGTGTATGGTGATCCCTGATGTTGAAACCTTCCTGTTCACTGACTAGGTTCATAGCAGATTGTAGCTATGAGCAGCCTTTGTTCTCTGGAAAATTCTCAGGAGTATATCTAACCATTTCAGTTACAGAGAAAAGGTGGTCTGCTATATAGCTACTGCATGAAGCATGGCACCACAGAGTAAATAAACCTGATAACAGAATTGTATTGTGTTCAAAAACAAATTATTGGCTTATGCAATAAGCCAAGAGGACAATTTGCTCTATCATATTTGAAGCAAGATTATTTCTACTTTCTCTCTATTTGAAACCCTGCCATAGCTTCAGAGAATCCAAACTCTTTAGCATGAAATACAAGTTCTTTCACAGTTGGGCTAGTTTTTTCTCCCAGGTCTGGTTTCTCTTTCATCAACAAGGCTGCAGCTGAAGCAAATGGTTTCCAGTTTCCTAAAGAAGCCAGGCTGTTTCTTCCCTCAGAACTGCTTACTCAGCTTCTGTGAGGAAACCCCTCCCATCCTGGTCCACTTGGTACTCATTGGTAAAGAGTGCCTGAAACCTTTTTTAGCACCCTTCTTGAAGAGATGTCCTAAAACTGCATTTCTCACCACTCTTTAAAACAAAACAAAAAAACCCAGACCCTGGCCTCCTTGCAGATCCTCAAAACTCTCATTCTCACTTTCCATGACTGAAAAAATTGTCCTCCCAGACTTTTACAGCACATTCCCAACTTCATTCAATTCTCTGTTAAAACAGCACCTTCTGTGAAAGGTTATCTTTGACTACTCAAGCCAAAGAAATTTCTCCCCTTCTCATTTTCCCAAATAAAACTATCCCTGCTCTACTGCATACTCTAGCTTAGTTTTTCTTTGTAGTCCTGATCTAACATTATGTTTAGTAATGAATCTGTCTTCCTTTCTAAAATATAAGCCCTATCATAATGGATCTTTGTTTTTACTGCTGTAAATATGTGTGAATTAATAAATGGCACTTGTGGTTCATTATTATATACATTGGCTCGAAATGTTGCTATTCCTCTTAGTCTCCATCTCCTTCCTGGTACACTGAATGACATAAAATATACTTACCCATAAAACAGTTCTTAACAAAGGAACTCTGAATCCATGTATATTACATAAGATGAAGAATGTGATATTTCCACAATTCCTTTATCTAAAATTCTTAGGTCCAGATATGTTTTAAAATTCAGAAACATTTATTACTTAACACCCTAGGATCCATATCCTATAATCAAACACATTAATAGCTCTCAACAAAACAAGTAAACAGGCCTATTATTTGTGATAAATAACACTCAGGTTGGCTTTTGCTGCAAAGTAGGTTATGAAAGTAAATTTTAAGAGTAGAGAGCCAGGCATGATGGTGTGTGCCTGTAATCCCAGCACTCAGGAGGCTGGAGGTGGGGAGACTGCTGCAAGTTCAAGTCCAGTCTGGGCTACACCATGAGTTCAAGGTTAGCATGAACCTAAAGAGAGAGACCATGTCTCAAAAAAAGAAAACAAAACCAAAACAAGAGTGGGGAATTTTGAAATTACAAATGAGAAGCTGTGACTATGTACTTGCACACAAATATCTGTGGACTAGTTCCATGCTGAACAGAGTTCTCCATATTCCAGAATGATAAGAAACACCGATTTAATGGATATGTTTAAAACATCTATTTTTAAATTATAGTTAATATAAATGAAGTGCTCACTATGTATCACCTTTGTACCAAGTTCTTTAAATGTGGATGTGAACTATTATTTGCCCAGTTTTACAAATGAGAAAACTAGGACATTGATAGAGATTTAGCAGTTTGCCTGTACAGCTGGTAACCAGCCAAAATGGATCCAGACCAAACCTGTCTCACAATAAAAGGCCATGCACCGGACCACTAGGCCATCCTAACTTCATACAGAGCAAGACAAAAAGTCTTCAGTCTTGCTAAGTTTCTTAGTGAGGTTGAGTCTAAAGAAAGTGTCCATATTCAAGTGAATGTGAAAATCCTCAGGCTACAAGTTCTTTGTAAAAATTGACTGGCTATATGTAGCCAACACTTAAGTTATTTCCTCACTGAAATTAATGTTTCAGAAGTTTGTAACGAGAGACCAAATGATTTCAGATAACTTAAAAAATACAGTTACCCTAATTTTTCCCAATTTCCTTCACAGAACAACAATTTATAGATCCAAGGTTTTCTGTCTCTTGATATAGGTGAGAATGGAACAAGAGGTCAAAAGGCACTAATTATAGGTAATATGGAAATAATATCTTTTTAAAGAACACTCTAGTTCCTTGAATTTTTTCAAGCCAGGCAGAAGTTGATAAAAAGTATTAGTGATGAACAAATTTTGAACTCCTTTGGAATCAAGTATATCAGTGATAGTTTGGCATTAAGGAGTCAGCTATATAAGAACAATAAAGCTAAATTAAAAAAAAAAATCTCTACATAGGACTACAGCTTCGACTGAAGACACAGTTTTAGACCTTGCCACACTTATGGGAAAACTTCAAATTATACAATGTAGAGTACCAAGAACACAACACATGAAAATGAGGATTAAGAAATGAAAATAACATATACGTTAAAAACATCACAACAGAAACAGGCTTTATTTCAACCAGACAAGTAAATTCCTCGATTAGCATCAACTTCTTCAAGACTTAAAGATACAGAAATTAAAGATGGTGATCAGAAGACAGAGAAAGGAATGTTCATCATGGAGCAATTGTATTGCCCTTCAAAACTCCCTTTCAATGATCACTCAAAAGACCATTAGATCTCATGTGTTCCAATCTGTGTACAAGACCCTTATTTGAAAGTTAGTGGAATCTTTAAAAAAATTATATATAGAGAGATCCATATCATAAATTAATTTTTAATTTTAGAAACTGGTATTAAAGTCCAGTTTTCAGTTTAAAATATTAAGAATGTAGAGGACTTTAACATTATTAAGATACCTTGTTACAAAGCTCCTAGGTACATACATGTACAAAACAGACAGTTATTACTACTTGACACATCAAATCATGATTTCCCCTAAATCTGATAGAAACAATTCATCTATTGGGAGATCTCCCCCAGTAATTCCCAAATTTCTTGCACAAGGATTTGCTGTCACTTATATGTATATGTGGGTAAGGACATTTTATCATAGAATATTTCAATTAAACATAATGTAGCATAAAATAAATCCAATGAAACACTATATTTATAAGGGATAAAATAAAGTTGCATGTAGTTTTATTTTTTGCCGAACTCATTAAATTTATTAATACTTTTTGAGTCTTCTCTTCATGGGCATTCTTGAGAGCTTTAGATTTGGTGTTTAACTTTATAATGAGTTGGTCAGCACCTTGATTGATAAGAAAAATTACAATAAAGAAAAGCTATGGGAAAGGGAGAGGGAAAGCATTAGAGGATACAAACAGGGGTAAAGTTTCCCTTTCCTCCCAGAAGACAAAAAAGGATACACAAACAAACAAAAATAGTGTTCACAGTAAAACATGCCAGATTTGTAGTTTCATTTGAAACCAACAGTGAATCATGAAACGTCATGAAAAATATAAGTAAAGGTAAAATCTCCTAGAGTAATTACTAAATGAAGTTAAAATTATCACACGGATCAGTAAACCCCAGAAGAAAAATGAATAGCACTTACATATCAGGTCCTTCTTAGATATCATACAATTTTTCAAAGTTAATGCATAAAATTGGTAGGTTTGGCCACACTGCACAAAAATTTTTTAAAAAAATACAGTATACAGAAAAAACCTCTTGTATTCCCCACTTTGAATCATAAGCTCAAAACCTAAGAATAAAAGATCAGCTAGAAGGATTTTAAATTATTTACAAATCCAGCAGGTTCAATCTGCCATAATGGCTTGGCTTCCATTCCATAGCAATTTCCACCTTCTCCAGCATCAACTGTCAGTTCTCTGTCCTCGCTGGAGGCTACTCCGACTACTGTTCATCTCTACGGTCATCAGTCATTTTGAACAGTTCCAACAGTGCCCCAACAGCTCCAAAATAGCCCTATAAAAAACAATGGAAAACTTCTGTAGGATTGTCTCTGAACCGCAGCCAAAGACCTACTACTTTTAATAGTTCTAGGAATGCTGCCCCCTTTTTTATAGATGAAGAAGAAAATTGAAAACTGAATTCTCAGGCTGGGGATATAGCTCAGTAGAACAGTGCATGCTTAGCACAAGTAAGCCCATGGGTTCAATCCCCAGTACCATAAACAAAACAAAACAAAACTAACTCTTTGCTAAGAAATATAGTGAAATAATTACAAGAATTTTT